TCATATTTTTTTTACTGATTTTGTAATTCCATTCAAGTACTTTCTATTATCTCATTAGATGTCTAGCAAGTAGATAGCCTATATAAAAACCCACTTACAAATGAGTAGATATAGGCATTGGCAAGACAGAGATTCTGCTTTTTAAAAAATAAAACATGGATAACTTGGATTAACCTAGAGGACATTATGTTAACTGATATTAGTCAATCACAAAAGGATAAATATTATTAAAAAGTTAAGAAAATGTTTACACACAGAAAGAATCATTCTTTGAAGTTTACCAGGGATGGGAGGGTATAGAAGGAATAATCAATAGAAGTTATAGATACATATTAATTTGGGTGAAAGGAAAAGGCAATATACAGTAAGGGGGAGATTGGCACAAAATGATCAGTGCAGTGGAAGACATGGGGAGGAGCACAAGAGTTAAAGGCAACAAAGGTGAATACCATAACATACACTTAAAAAAAAGTATGGAACAAGAATTGTCAAAGAAATCAAAGAATCTAGGTTTCTATCTCCTGTTATCCACATTTAATGCTCCAGAGTCCATGGTAATTCTCTTCTACCCTGTATTTCAGAAGTACCTGGTTTTAGTACTATCCTACAAGATTTGAGAAGACAGCTTAATAATTGAGGATGGGACACGTTTGAAAAGTGCTCTTTGCTACCTGGACAATAAGCTTGAGCTCTCTTTGTTTCCTTCCTTCAAAGGACATGCAGTGAATATACATGGAAATTATAGAAACTGAGTCATTGTCAATGCTATATTGACAACCTTAAGGTGTCTTAAAGGAAGCTTCTGTCTCTCTGTATGATGTGTTGCCAACATGGCCTCATTCAGCTCAAGAGCTCAACTTCACCTCAGAATCTAGGCCATCTGCCACTTCTTTCTTTGCTTCTCTTACACAGTTACATAATCACCAACTTGACATTTTAATTAAACAGATAGCACCCACTACAGCAGACAATTTATGAGGCTTATAAATTCATGATTGCAAAGGACATTGCATTTTTCTGATGAAAAGTGCTCATGAATTGATAAGTTATATTATTGTTGTTTTTCATCCAACAGTCTCAGCTCACCTGATTCCTTCTCGTGAGCCATTGTACACTTTTTTTAAACCGAGAATAGATGACCAATTCAGATAATGCCTCTGATTTAAAAGACACTATAAATCACCGCTGAGAAATGCTTTACAGTTTTAGCCATGGCACCTTCTCCATGGCAGCTTTATATTAGAGCATTAATAAAATTAATTTCTTTTTCATATGGGTTTAGATTTGTAATTTATGAAAGATCTTTGTTCACTGTGGGCAGAAAGATTAAAAAATGAGTAAACCAATATACCAACTGAACTGCACATGTCTAGTTTTGTTTTCTTTTCTGGGAGTGGAGGCAGGAGAGGGTTTTTAAAGCAGGTTGATGTTATCTAGAATGGTGTTCACATAAGTTCTACTTTTAAAGGCTCAACTTTTGTTTTCAGTAAATTGTAACTGCTCAGATTTAATGTTCTATTAACTAGTGTAATTATTTACATGTGGTTAAGTGGAGCAGTCAAAATAAGAAATTCACTATTTATGTTTCCCTTAATAACAATGCCCCTTACTCATGACAGAGCTTTATAGTTATTTAAAGAATCACAGTAAGTTACTTAAATCTATCTTAGTAGGTAAGAACACTTGACCATTTACTATATAACTTAGGCAAGTTAGTCAATGTTTTAGTTTTTTAGTGTTGCTGTAGCAGAAATATAATGAGTGGGTTAAAGGACATAAAGGACAAAGAAATTTATTTTCTTTCAGTTTTTGATGCTAGAAGTCCAAATTCAGCTTGTAGCATCAGCTCTAGGGAAGGTTCTCGTCTGTCTGCTTTAGGGGAAAATGCTGATCTCAGCTTCTATTCCTGGCAGTCCTTGGTTCCTTGTGGATTTCCTCACAGCATCTGTCTTCCTCCCAGGTGTGTTTGCTTCTCTCCTTATCTAACATGCTCTTTTTATATCTCAAAAGTCATTAAGTTTAAGACACACTATCGACTGATATGGCCTCCTTGACATAGCATAGAAACTCTGTTTCCAGATAGGATTGCATCCACAGTATAGGGGTTAGGAGTCCAACACATGTCTTTGAGGGACACAATACAGTCCATAACACCCAACTTCTCTGTGCTCAGTTTCCTCATCTATAAAATTGAAAGATAACATCCCCTGACTCATTAGGAGATTGTGATGATTAAATGCATTAATCCATGTAAAGCCCTTAGTGCAATGCCTAGTATAGGACAAGTGCTCAATGAAATGTTAACCACCCTCCACCCCCTTCTCCCGGGGATCACCTTTTACCCAAACCACAGACAGGCCTACAAAGTGAACAGTTACACTCATGAGGAACACACTGCTCAGAACAATCAACTATATGAGACCAAAAAGGCAGTATTTTCCAAAAAACAAAGTTCAGAAGGCAGGAAGGAGCAGAGAAGAAGTATGAATGAATGAGGGGAACCCAGGGAAGGAGTGGGAAGAGGGCTGTTACAGTTAGGGGATTATAACTAATGTCATGGAACAAACTGTATAAATTGTTGAATGGAAAACTAATTTGCTTCATAAACTTTCACCCAAACCACAATAAAATGTTCTAAATAAAAAATAATCGTTAACTCCACAGTTATTACTATATTAGTAATAATAGTAATTGCCATCATAGCCATTGTTTTAAAAAATAATAAACATCCTCAGATGAGGAGAGTCCATATACTCCTCATGGGCTAAGAAACTCATGATCAGAGATGTCAAGTCCCTTGTCTAAGGCCACAACAGTAGTTGTTCTTCAGATTCCTAGGACTTGCAGGTCTTACAATTCTGACTTCAGTTATATGCACAGGAAGGCAGGTATCAATAATGTAGCAGTTTGGATTAGTTGTAATCTGGAAAATACTCTATTTTTTCTTTTTTAAACTAAATGATCAGAAATGATCTTATTTTATTGTGATTTCTCAAAAAAGCAGAAAAACTCCATATGGAATTTGTGATAGAAGTAACAGATTGAAGGAGATTTTGAAAATTCCCACAAGTTTTTATCACAGTATCCTACAACATTACCCATCATCAGTAAACTCTCGTGGAATGCACAGGAGTAATCAAAGAACGTGAGGGAAGGGGTCTGGACTTTTCAACCTAAAAAAGACACTCAAAGACGACCAAATTAGTCATCCACTAATGGTTAGAATTTTTTCAGAGGACCTGTCCTTAGTGTTGAACTGCACATTTTTCAAATCATTCTGAGGACAAAAAAAAAGTGTGTGTGAGTAAGTGTGTGTGTGTGTATGTGCGTGTGTGTGAGATAGAGGATGTTAGTTGCCTATGTAATTACCAAAGTTTTAAATACCTTCTATTATTAATAAAAGGAGCTCTGGTAGCATAGTGCCTAAGGCACTTGACTGCTACCCAGAAGGCTCACAGTTCAAACCCACTAGCCATTCCTCGGAAGGAATGTTGGGCAATCTACTTCCATAGTGATACCACCTCGGAAACCCAAGGAGGGGTCACTATGAGTCAGGTCCCACTCCACAGCACATAACAATAACAACAAATTAGTAATAAATGTCTAGTCATGATCAGGATAATGGCATAGATGGTTCTTCTAGCTTAACCTGAGGGGAAAAAAATTAATGTAAACTAAAGAAATGATGGGGAGCTCTGGTAGCATAGTGGCTAAGGCACTTGACTGCTAACCAGACGGCTGGCGGTTCAAACCCACCAGCCACTCCTTGGAAGGAAGGTTGGGCAATCCTACTTCCGTAGCGATACTGCCTTGGAAACCCAAGGAGGGGTCGCTATGAGTCGGGTCCGACTCGACGGCACATAACAACAACAACAACAACAACAAAGAAATGATGAGATAATTTTCACTTACTTTTAAACTTAATTTCACCTTGCAGCTGTTGTGCTTAGCCTTGTAGCATTACACAAGAAAGTAGAGTGAAATCCAATTGCCAGGATTTTCTTATCAGATCTTTAATTATGTGAACTCTTTTTTCCTGTGCCCTGCTTTGGGGAGGTTAGATAAGCTAAATGAGCCCACTTCTCATGCTGCAGATTAAAAAACAAGAGAGAGTGAAATTTCCAGGTTATTCTGCTCACCCAGCCACCCACTGTGTATGCGTCACTGGTGTTCAGAATCACAAGACAATGGGCACTGAAGAAAGATTCAGCCATTTTCCTGTTTTCATTTTGGCAGAGAATGGCTAGTGTATTTTAATAAGTCCAGAAACAAAAAAGTCAATTAAACCAAGCTGTACATCCTCTGATATGTTATTCCATTTTCCCTCCTATTTTTCTTCCTAATTGTTGAACAAAGCTCTAGTTATAGACAGTAGGATTTATCTGTTTCAGGGATAATACAATTCAGACAATTTAGTGTTGCTATTCTAAAGTTTGTTAATTTGTTTTTATGCCAAGATAATTTTTGGTAATTTTAAGAAACAATATCAAAACTACTAAAGAAATGCTCAACTGGGAAATATATGAAAGGGTTTTTTTTCCTACTTTTTCAAATAATTAAGATCAAATTCTTTATTTCTTATTTAACAAACAGTTGGAGGATTAATTTTCTCCTTGATGATAGGACATAATTTTATTATTTTTCAAAGGCACAGTAATACTATTTTTAGAATATAATATAACAGCTATGCTTTTTTACTGTGCCAGCTCAGTTAATAAATGAAAAATGAAAGACTTTTTTTATATTCTACTTCATGAAAGCAACCTCAATATATAAAAATTGCTGTAGAGCCATAATAACTGTACCATAAAATACAGAATGCTTTCTCTTAAGATTCTCGAAGCCTCAAAAATAATCAGTCAAGAGGAAAGAGAAGCCAGAAAGAAAGGGAAGTATGATTTCACGTTTTACTTAATATGAAAAAGGATATTTAATATTATTTTTAAATTATTGGCCTAAAATTATATAGCACCAGTTGTAGAAAGAGAAATTTAGACACGATGGTGATGACAAAAGGGAAAGGTATAAGAATAACAATGAAAAGTAAGTGAGAGAACTAGTAGAGAAGACATTTCATATTTCAGTAGTATAAAAATAGGAATACAAAGAGAACTGGAGTATTATTAAATGAACTGGTTGTATAGCAAAGAGCTCTGGTGGTGTGGTGGTTAAGGCATTTGGCTGCTAACCAAAAGGTCTGTGATACAAACCTATGAGCTGCTTCCTGGAAAAAAGATGAGGTACTCTGCTTCCATAAAGATTCACAATCTTAGAAACCCAGTGGGGGTCGCTATGAGTTGGAACTGACTCTACAGTAGTGAGGTGGGTTTTTTTTTTTTTTAGTTTTGTTGAGTAGCATTTCAAAATGAGTAAAATTGATCAAAGAATCTGACTTTTTAATTTACTTGCCACCAACTGGAAGAAATATAAGAGGTTTTAGGAAATTCTGTGGGAAAACTTGAGGCCTAGATTTATGGGGATACTTGTTGTTGTTGTTTGCCGTCGAGTCGGCCCCGACTCATAGCGACCCCTCCTTGGGTTTCCGAGGCAGTATCACTACAGAAGTAGGATTGCCCAACCTTCCTTCCGAGGAGTGGCTGGTGGGTTTGAACCGCCAGCCGTCTGGTTAGCAGGCAAGTGTCTTAGCCACTATGCTACCAGAGCTCCTATGGGGATACTTTTGGCATGTGTAAGTAAATGGGGATACTTACACATGCCAAATGTATAGCTGTAGCTGCAATACATGGACTTAACTCTTCTTTAGTTTCTTACAGGTGTGTGTGGATGTGTCTGTATGCACTGTTAGATTACTTAGGCATATAGTCAAAATAGACACCTTTATCTTTGGGAAGAATTTTTAGTGAGTGACTATTAACCACAAAAATGCACTTTGAACTATGACAAGATGTAAAAGTCCTTCTAAGATCTAAGTAAATGCCTAGGGCATCATTTATGGTGGTTATAATTTCTTGTTTTTGTGTCAAACAAGGGTATTGACATTTGAGGAATCCCTAGGTGGTGCAAATGGTTAATATGCTCAATGGCTAACTGAGATTGGAGTCTAAGTCAACCCAGAGGGACCTATGAAGAAAGGCCTGGTTATCTACTGCTGAAAAATCAACCAGTGAAAACCCTAGGGAGCACATTCTACTCTGATATACATAGGATTGCCATTAGTCAGAGCCAACTGATCGGCAGCAACTGGTGATGGTTGTTGTTGCTGTTGTTATGTGCTGTGGAGTTGGACCCGACTCATAACGTCCCCTCCTTGGGTTTCCCAGGTGGTATCACTACAGAAGTAGATTGCCCAACTTTCCTTCCAAGGAGTGGCTGGTGGGTTTGAACAGCCAGGCTTCTGGTTAGCAATCAAGTGCCCTAGACACTGTGCTACCAGAGGTGGTGTTATATTTATATTTAACAACTTTAAAAGAGATACACATAAGTTTTCAACAATTTCTTTCACTTAGCTTCTCAGACAAAAACACAAGCAGTCAAGGAGTTTGTCTGTCTACTTCATCATACTCCTCTGATCCAAATGAGACTCACACTCAGCTGGTTCTGTCAAGAAACAGACGGGCATTTCATTCACGCTTGGATTCTGGAATATCATCCCTGGTAAATACTTTTAGTTAGCATTTTACCTAATGATAAACTTATAAAACATTATCTTCTATCTAACAAGTTTGAGTGAATGTACACATTTCTTAAATAAATCTGTCTTGTAATAGTGTGGGAAAAATGAGAGGTCGATACACTCAGTCCCATTCTGAAGAGAAAACAGGAAGAAGCTGGGGGTGGAGGAAGGAAGACAAACAGAGGAGGAGAAAGTGAGCAGCAAAGATAGTGATCACAAAAATCAGAATGCACCCTTTCCTTCCCCTGCTGAAGCCAAAATTCGTCTCTTGTGAGAAACTGTAGAGTTACTCTTCTTTCATTCTGGAATGTCCTTTATCCACACGGTAACTTTTACTTTTTTAAAACCTCCCACTTCTAAGCCATTTTCTCTAACTCACCTAAGTGAAATCAAACTTACTCTTCTTCCTTCCTTTCATTCCACTAAGGAGCTCTGGTGGTACAGTGCCTAAGGCATTTGAGTGCTAACAGGTTGGGGTTCAAGAAGATGGGGCAATCTACTTCCGTAAAGACTTACCACCTCAAAAAATTCAATGGGGGTCACTATGAGTTTTGTTTTCCATTCCATGTAATTCACTGGATTAGGATAAAGTATTGATATGTGCCTTCCTCCTTGGGTTTTTGAGGCAGTATGTCTGTGGAAGTAGATTGCCAATCTGCCTTCCAAGGAGTGGCTGGTGGGTTTGAACCGCCATCCTTCTTTGAACCGCCAGCCTTCTGGTCAGCAGTTAAATGCCTTAGGCACCATGCCACCAGAGCTCCTTTCCAAGTAATGTTGCTGTTAGATGCCGTTGAGTTGTCTCTGACTCACAGAGGCCTCATGTACAGCAGAATGAAACACTGCCCAGTCCTGTGCCAGTCCCATGATAGTTGCTATAATTGAGCCCATCGTTGCAGCCACTATGCCAATCTATTCCATTGAGGGCCTTACACATTTTCATTGTCCCTCCACTTTGCCAAGCATGATAGCCTTCTCCAAGGAATGGTCTTCTTACAACACGACCAAAGTAAATGAGACAAAGTTTGGCCATTCTTACTTCCAAGGAGCATTCTGGCTACACTTCTTCCAGGACAGATTTGTCAGTTCTTTTAGCAGTCCATGGTACTTTCAGCATTCATTTCCAACACCACAACTCAAAAGCATGAACTCTTCTTTAGTCTTCCTTTTTCATTGTCCACCTCTCACATACATATGAGGAGACTGAAAATACCATGGCTTGTGTCAATCACTTTAGTCTTCAAGGAAACATCTTTGCTCTTCAGCACTTTGCAGCAGAATTTCCCAATGCTATACAATCTCATGTTATCAGAAGGGACCATTCCCTGGAGAAGGATGTCATTCTTGGTAAGGTGGAGGGTCAATGAAAGAGGGGAAGCCCCTCAACGAGATGGGTTGACACAGTGGCTGAGGGGATGGGCTCAAGTATAGCAGGAATCGCAGAGCTGGTGTGAGACCGGGTGGTGTTTTGTTGTGCTGTGCATAGTGTCACAATGATTCAAAGACAACTCGACGGCACCTAACAACAACAATATACAACGTCTGATGTCTTGACTGCTGCTTCCATTGGTGTTGATTGTAGAACCAAGTAATATGAAGCCTTTGACAACTTCAATCTTTTCTCCATTTATCATGATGCTGCTTATTGGTACCGTTGGGAGGATTTTTGTTTTCTTTATATTGAGGTGTAATCCATACTGCAGACTGTAGTCTTCAATCTTCATCAGTAAGTGTTTCAGCTCATTCTCACTTTCAGGAAGAAAGTTGTGTTGTCTGAATATCTTCCTCCAATCCTGATGCAATGTTCTTCTTCACATAGTCCAGCTTCTCGGATTATTTGCACAGCATACAGATTGAATAAGTATGGTGAAAGGATACAACCCTGATGCACTCCCTTCCTGATTTTAAACCATGCAGTATACCGTTGTTCTGTTTGAATGACAGCCTCCTGATCTATGTACAGGTTCCTGATGAGCACAATTAAATGTTCTGGAATTGCCACTCTTCTCAATGTCATCCACAATTTGTTATGATAAACACAATCAAATGTTTTTTGCTTAGTCAATGAAACACAAGTAAACATCTTTCTGATATTCTTTGCTTTGAGCCAAGATCCATCAGACATCAGCAATGATATCCCTTGTTCCATGTCCTCTTCTGAATCCAGCTTGCATTTCTGGAAGTTCTCTGTCAATAAACTGCTGCAATCATTTTTGAATTATATCTTCAGCAAGATTTTACTGGCATGTGATGTTTATAATATTGTTTGATAATTCCTACATTCTGTGGGATCACCTTTCTTTGGAATGGGTACAAATATGGGTCTCTTCCAGTCAGTTGACCAGGTAGTTGTCTTCAAAATCTCCTGGCATGGCCGAGTGAGTGCCTCTAGTGAAGCATCTGTTTGTTGAAACATCTCAGTGGGTATTCTATCAATACCTGGAGCTTTGTTCTTCATCAATTCCTTCAGTGGATCTTCGACTTCTTCCTTCAATACCATTGGTTCTGAACATCAACCAATTCTTTTTGGTACAGTGACTCTGTGTATTCCTTCTATTTTCTTTTGATGTTTCCTGCATCATTCAATATTTTGCCCATAGAATATTTCAATATTGCAACTTGAGACTTAAATTTCCTTTTCGGTTCTTTCAGCTTGAGAAATGCTGAGTGTGCTCTTCCGTTTTGGCTTTCCAACTCCATGTCTTTGCATCTTTCATTATAATAATTGACTTTGTCTTCTCAAGCTGCCCTTTGAAATCTTCTGTTTAGCTCTTTTATCTTGTCATTTCTTCCATTTGCTTTAGCTCCTCTCTGTTCAAGGGCAAGTTTCAGAATGTCTTCTGACATCCATTTTGGTCTTTTCTTCCTTTCTTGTCTTTTTAATGACCTTTTACTTTCTTCATGGCTGATGTTCTTGACGTCATCTCACAATTCCTCTGGTTTTTGGTCATTGGTGTTCAATGCATCAAATCTATTCTTTAAATGGTTTCTAAACTCAGGAGGGATATATTCAAGGTCATGTTTTGGTTCTCTTGGACTTATTTTAATTGTCTTCAACTTCAACTTCAACTTGAACTTACAAATGAGCAGTTGATGGTCTGTTCCACAATCAACTCCTGGCCTTGTTTTGGCTCAAGATATTGAGTCTCTCCATCACCTCTTGCCACAGATGTAGTCAATCTGATTTCCGTTTACTCCATCTGGAGAAGTCCACATGTATAGCCACCATTTGTGTTGTTGAAAAAGTAAGTCATTGGTCTTACAAAATTCTATCACACAATCTCCAGCATTATTTCTATCTCTAAGACCAAATTTTCTGACTACTGGTAATTCTACTTTGTTTCCAACTTTTGCATTCCAGTCACCAGTGATAATCAATACATCCTGATTGCATGTTTGGTCAATTTCAGACTGCAGAAGTTGGTAAAAAAAAAACCTTAAATTTCCTCATCTTTGGTTTTGATGGTTGGTGTATAATTTGAATAATAGTGTTATTAACTGCCTTTCCTTGTAGGCATATGGATATTATTCAGCATTGTACTTCAGGATATATCTTGAAACATTCTTTGTGACGATGAATGTTACACCATTACACCATTCTTCTTCAATTTGTCATTTCTGAACGTAGCAGATCATATGGTTATCTGATTCAAAATGGCCAACACCAGTCCATTTGAACTCATTAATGTCTAGGATATCAATCTTTATGCATTCCATTTCATTTTTGACAACTTCCAATTTTCCTAGATTCATACTTTGTACATTCAATGGATCCGATTATCAATGGATGTTTACAGCTATTTCTTCTCATATTGAGTTGTGCCACTTCAGCAAATGGAGGCCCCAAAAGCTCCACTTTATCCATATCATTATGGTAGGATCTACTTTGAAGAAGCAGCTTTTTCCCAGTCATATTTTGAGTGTCTTCCGACCTGAGGGGCTCATCTTCTGACACTGTATCAGACAATGTTTCAGGGCTAGTCATAAAATTTTTCAGTAATATAACAGAGAGTATTTCAGTACTTTTCATAAGGTTTTCACTGGACAATTCTTGGAGAAGTAGATGACCTTTTTCTTCTTCTGAGTCTGTCTCAGTCTGGAAGCGCCACCAAAACTGGTCCACCCATGGGCATCCCTGCTGGTACAGCCTCTAGCCTCACAGCTACACGCAAACCAGCACAGTACCCCAAATTGACAGACAAGTTTGTCTCTCTTAGCTGTTCCAATCACTCCGCTCACTTCCTGGGCTTCCCTCTACCTGTTCCTGTCAGCCCTGTCTGCTGCTACTCCCTGCCACCTGGGGCCTGTCCACTGCCCTCCTTAACTGTTTTGGCCACTGGTCCTGTCTGCTTCCAAGTAATAGAATAACTTTTTTTTTTTCAAACCACAACTACACTATTTTATTCAGTTTTGCCTAACACAGTGCCTTATACATAGGAGTGGGTGCAATATATATATTTTTTACTAAATGGTTGAAAAGAAATGAAGCATACTAGCTTCAAAAATAATGATTGAGCTAATGGATTAATCAATTAGTCCATCCAAAACCAAACCGAACTCACTGCCATTGAGTCAATTTTGACTCATAGCCACTGTTCCTTGGGTTTTTGAGGCAGTATCACTATGGAAGTAGATTGCCCAACCTTCCTTCCGAGGAGTGCCTAGTGGGTTTGAGCCACCAGTCTTCTGGTTAGCTGGGGAAAAATAGAACTAGAAATAAATATTTATTATTCCTTTAAGAGGAAATGGCCATCACACAACTGTATGACAATGATAATCTTGCATAGAAAGAAATTTGAAAATGCAATAGCCAGTTTTCCTACAACAGCAGAAGTCTCAAAATTAAAAAGATAATTTCTTTAAAAAACAAAAATAAGTTGATGTGCAAAATTAGATGTAAGTTGACAAATGGAAAACTTTCAATTATAGTTTTAATTTAGGTTGTTTTGTTTTTTCCCCTAGCAAGAAAAAGCCTTATCTAATAGCACAGAGGCAAAGTGATGTGGCAGCTCTGGGGAATTTAACATCCAAGAAATTTTTATTCTTTTTTTTTTTTTTTTAGAAATTTTTATTCTATGATAGAATGAATAGAAATAAATATTCTATACACATTTAAACAGAACAACCAAGAATAGGCTAGGAGCTACAGTACTCAACAATCTAAAATATACTTGCACTTATTGGTATTTTAAAGAATAGTTTTAAATGGTAAGATAATTCATTGAAAAGGTGTGAGTAAATCTCAGAATCCCTTAATTAATTGCTCAAATGTTAATTAACTTTTTAGTGTTGTTATTAATGATGTAGGAGCTCTGGTAGCATAGTGCCTAAGGCACTTGACTGCTAACCAGAAGGCTGGCGGTTCAAACCCACCAACCACTCCTTGGAAGGAAGGTTAGACATTCTTATTCCTGTAGTGATACTACCTCTGAGACCCAAGGAGGGGTCTCTATGAGTTGGGCCGACTCAACGGCAAACAACAACAATTAATGATGTAGAGAGCTTTTGTTTCTAGTTCTAGTTTCAAAATGAGGATATAGGAATTACTGGAACAACCAAGGTCATCCAGTGAGTAAATAATGAAGATAAAAGAGCAAAACTAAAAGATTATTTTAAAAGTCACCTCTTCCTAATTTATTTCAAAGCAGCTTTTTCCAAAATCTGCTCCACAGAATGTACTAGTCGCATGTACTCCTCCAAAAACAAAAAGGTTCTGTGGCTTAAAAGTTTTTGGGGAACACTATCTAGAATAGACTCACAGTATGTATTAGTGTATTAAAGGCTCTGAGAAGTTCTGCAGTAAATAAAAATGCTTAAATTGGTTTAATCTAGAGTCCTATAAGTTTATTTCATTGTAGAAATGTTTTATGTGTTTGTATTAATCTTAAATTTATAGCTCAAGCAAAGTTTTGTTGTTGTTATTAGCTATCATTGAGTCAGTTTCAATTCACGGTGACTCCATGTGTACAGAATAGAACTACTCCATAAGGTTTTCAAGGCTTTGACTTTTTGGAAGCAGATTGACAGACCTGTCTTTTGTGGTGCCTCTGGATGGGTTTGAGCTGCCATTCTTTCAGCGAGTAGTTGATCACTTAACCACTAGTGCCACCCATGAGCTCAAGCTACATGAAATGCTGCCCCATAATATCAATCCAGCTGTTTCAAACACTAATGACATTTCTTTAAATTAAACACTGTGGGTTTGTTTGTTTTCTGTTTGTACATGTGTATAGCACTGTCTAGCTGAAAAACTCATCTATGGTACATGTCTTTAACATAATATTTTTTTCTAAGCAATATGCCTTTTTTTGTTTCATTTGTGTTGATTTTGAAATTAACATAAACTTTGTAAATTATTAGGAATTTTGACCAACTACAAACTCAATATAAGGAAATGACATAATAAAATGCCCAAACTGTGATCTTGGCATAAGGTTTGGTCAATAATATGCTATCTAGAACAGAAAAATGACCAGGTAAGGAATATTTCACTCAGTGCTAGCTACGTATTTCAAGAGCAATGTCAATAAACTGGAGCTATTCCTGAGGAGAAGCATCAGGATATCCAAGGATTTGATATCCTATGAGTAATAACTGAACAACTTAGGTAGAAGATGACAATTGTTGTCAAACACTTAAAATAGTACTCAAATAGTGGAAGAATTTGTTTATGTAGCCTTAAAAGGGTCAAACTTTACAAATCAGAGCAGGTTAGAGAGATTATACAAATCAGAGTAGGTTAAAGGGGCTACATAATTATGAGCTTCTAACTGAAGCTCTGGTGGCATAGTGCCTAAGGCACTTGACTGCTAACCAGAAGGCTGACAGTTCAAACCTACTAGCCACTCCTCGGAAGGGAGGTTGGGCAATCTACTTCTATAGTGATACCACCTCAGAAACCCAAGGGGGGTCGCTATGAATCGGGTCTGACTCAATGGCAAACAACAACTGGTGTAGTGGTAAAAGCATTCTGCTGCTAACTAAAAGGTTGGCAGTTTGAACCCATCAGCCACTGTGCAGAAGAAAGATGAGGCAGTCTGCTTCCATAAAGATTCACAGCCTTTGAAACCCAATGGAGGTTTTTTTGAGTCGAAATTGTCTAAATGGCAACGAGTTTGGTTTTTGTTAACAGTTAGAAATGTTCTAAAATGGAATGAGATATATAACAGATATTGAAGCCTTATTAATCAGAGGTGTTGTAAAGTGGATTCATGAATATTTATTCATGCTGTTATTTACTAGCAAACATAAATCAGTTGCATGTGTTTAAGATGCAAAGTTGAATAAACACATAAATTAAATTGGACTAAGATGACTTGTATGAGAGCAGTGGTGGTTCAGTGGGAGAATTCTCTCCTTCCATAAAAAAGGCCCAAGTTCAATTCCCATCAAATGCACCCCATGGACAGCCACCACTCGTCTGTCATTGAGGTATGCATGTTGCTGTGACGCTGAACAGGTTTCAGCAGAGCTTTCAGAATACAAAGTATGAAGAAAAGCCTGGTGATCTACTTCCAAAAGTCAGCCAATGAAACCCTGTGTCTCGTAACGGTTCAATTCGTGACCAATCATGGGGATGGTGTTGGACCAGGGAGCATTCGGTTCCATTGTGCATAGTAATCTCCAAAAGTCAGGGCCAACTCCACAGCTACTAACAAAAACAGCAAGATAACTTCTATGCATACATTGTTAGGCATAAGAAGTTTAATTTGGCTAAATGTTTAGCTTGGATTTGCATGGCTTTTACACATGAAAGTAAAAGAATTGCATATTATTGCCAGATGATACTTCCTTTCTTTTCTTATTTTAAAGCTTCCTTCAGACTCTTTTAAGTACTTTACTTGGAACAAAGTAGAACAAAATGACATTCAAGGAAGTCAACTGCGTTGCCCAAGGGTGAGAGAAGGTAAAAGAACAAATGTATGTATTCTTTGTGCTCATGTTCTGATTAGATTTTGTGTATGTGCCTATTCAAAGACATTATCTGGAAATAGAAAACATTTCCTTTTTCAAGACTATAAAGTTGTTGATATACTGAAGGTGATTTTAAAGACATATTTTTATATGTTTATACAAATAATATGATTTGAGTGTTAATACAGGAAAAAATAGAAAGATAAGGTAGAACCTGTATTCCAACCATGCAGAAATAACCACTGTTTATTTCCACCCAGTCTTTTTTTTTTTTTTTTGTATAGTATAGATATACTTCTTTAAAAATTGTATTAAGAACTTTGTTTCTTAGGCTTTCTGTTTATCACTGTATTGTGAGAATTCCTTTCATATCATTGAACATTACTCAAAATATGTTTTTTTTTAAAGATTACATAAGTTTCCTTCACAGGGCTATTATTTAATTTTTTTCACCAATGCCCACCCCTACTTACTACATCAGATTCTTTGGGAGTAGGACCTAAGAATCTGTATTTTTTCATACACATTTCCAATAATCAGAAATAATACCACCACTTCAATGTTTGACTTTAATCTGATTTAATTCTATATTGGGGCCTGGTGGCTCAGTGGTTAAGCACTCAGCTGCTAACCTAATGTCTAGCAGTTCAAACTCACCCAGCAGCTCTGTGGAAGAAAGATCTCCTCCCTCATAGATTACACACGCACACACTGCCATTGAGTCCAATCCGACTCATAAGGACTCTTCCTTGGGTTTCCGAGGTGGTATCTCTACAGAAGTAGATTGCCCAACCTTCCTTCTGGGGAGTGGCTGGTGGGTTTGAACCACCAACCTTCTGGTTAGCAGTCAAATGCCTTAGGCACTACACCACCAGAGCTCCCTCCCTTTACAGCCTAGAATATCCTATGGGGCAGTTTACTCTGTAACATGGGGTCACTAGGAGTCACTATTGATTTGATAGCAACTAACAACCATAATTCTATACTGGTTTAAAAAAAAATCAGAAGGAAATCTAAAGATACTAGGTAGTCTCATTAGATATTGTCTTTATACATCTTAAATTTGATAGATTAACTAGTGTTTCTTCATACCTTTGATCATCTTTTTAATGCATAATTGCATTTGTAAAAATTGCCACAAGAAATTCTACTGCTCTTGATGTGAGGGCTATACTATAAGAAATATTGGTTTAGGAGGTTTGGGAAAAAGAGGGAAGGAGTACATTTGAATAACAGGACCTCTGGTGGCATAATGCCTAAGCCATTTGACTACTAACCTGAAGGCTATTGGCTCAAACCCACCTGTCATTCTTTGGAAGGAAGACTGAGCAATCTACTTTTGTAGACATACTGCCTCAGAAACCCAAGGAGGGGTTGCTATGAGTCGAATCGACTTGATGGATTTGAATAGAAAATTTTTTTTTTTTTTAAAAAAAAGAACCTTGGTACTTGAGATCCTGGAGTGAAGGGTAGAATTGTGAGTATCCTAATCTCTTAGGGACAAGAAAAAATTATTTTCTGAGCACAAATGGGGAGGGTTTAGAGAGAATTGCAGAACTCCAGAAATTGGAGGGGTGATGAGAATAAACTGTGGATGTATAGAAGATGAGCATGTGTAAAGGGGTCTAAAAACCACCCTCTCTCATTGATTTAAGTGGCCAGGTCATGAGCTAAAGTTATCATGCAGCAAAACCAATCCCTTGTAATGACCACAGTGGCTGTACACATACAGGTCATCATTGCTTTACAGAGATAAAGGCACATTTTCTACACATAGATCATTAACAACAGCCAATCACTATCAAGTAACTGGTTATAAAGGAATGGAGAATGACGTAGGGAAGGGAAACATAAGAAAATCTCATCAAACGTTGAGGAAAATAGATGTCCCTTCCTCATTGCTCTTAATTGCCTTTAAGTTTATTATGTGAGGTAGCGAACAAGTGTTTTTCAAAAGCCTTCTGATAAGAACTACCCTCTTTCTAGATTAGATTCTGAAACACTCAGCACAACTACTTAGGTTGCCCTCCACTGCTCAATTGTACATCCAGGAAGACTTCCTGAGAAAAGAAAGGTTATCTTGTGTGTCATAAACAGCAATTCCCCAAGGCTTTGATTGTCAGATCAAGTTCAGCTCAACATCTTCCAATTAAATGAAGCAGAAGAGCAAACTGTTGGCAAGATTTTTCCTTTTAAAAGAATAGATTCTCTTGGTTTGAAAATCCACCAGCAAGTTAATTCAGTGAGTGCTGTTACAAATCCTAGGAGGGGACAAAGAACAAGCTCAGAGTGAGCAGGTGAAAGCCCATATCTGGACTGTCAGGTGTTCCAGCTGGTAGCTCTCAGCTGCTAAGATATATCTTCAATTACCAACCAAGCCTGAGTATAAAAAGAATCGAATATAATCCAGCTCTTCACAGTGGAAACAACCTTTGGCCTCTATTTTCAAAGAAATCTTTCAAAGCTGCTTTAAAAAGAAATAATTAAAAGAGCAGAGAATCGATAGAGCTGAAACAAACAATGCAGGGTAGAGTTTAATAACGCTGGGGTTTCTGCTGCACAGGGAAATCTACCAAATTATTTTTGGATTTAAGACAATGCCACCTGAAGGTATCCCTAGTCAATTAGATGATTGCTCAAATTTGTCCAGTTCTAAGATTTTAACTCCACTCATCCTAAAGAATTAAGAAGATAATTTCCAAACAAGAAGCTATGTTATTTATATATGTCCTGGGATATTACTCCTTTCAGGGTCAGATGATTCCTGAGCAGCAATGGTACAGTTCTGTCATGGATTTAACTGTGTCCCTCAAAACATGTATTAACTTGGCTGGGCTTTGATTCTCACTATTATGTAATTATCCTCCATTTTGTGATCCAAGGTAATTATCCCATGGATTGTAAATCCTCATGTCTGTGATGTTAATGAGGCAGGATTAGAGGCAGTTATGGTAATGAGGTAGGATGTATTTTAAGTCAATCTCTTCTGAGATATAAAAGGGATTAAACAAGCAGGCATCAATCAGAGGGACCTACTGCATCCAAAAAAGAAGAGTCAGGTGTGGAATGAAAACTCTGGACCCAGAATCCCTGTGCTGGCAACCTCTTAGACTCAGGGGAAGATTGATGCCAAGACACATGGTGATCTGCTAGGGATATCAGGCCCACAGATGCTGGAAGGAGACAAGGACTTCCTTCCTAAACTATGAGCCAAGAGAGAAAGAAAGCCTCCTAAAGCTGGCACTCTGAATTCAGAGTTCTAGCCCCTTAAACTTTGAGAAAATAAATTTCTGTTTGTTAAAGTCATCCATTTGTGACTTTTCTGTTATAGCAGCATTAGTTAATTAAGACAAGTTCATTATGAGAGAATTTCACGAAAGGGCCAAATGTAACATGGGCTTAGCCTGCACCAGGTAATAGAACGGATGTTTGTGTCCAAATAGAGAAATAGTGAACTCCTTCTCTTACTGCCTTCATAAATCCTTCACAAACAGACTCACTGCCTCCCAACTTAGGCCAGGCAAACGTGCCACAAAAGCAAAGTTTGTTCTTTGATGCTGTCAATATCCCTTTTCAGTGTTCTTTTCACTTTTGAAATGTGACTCATAGATACAGGAGGAAATTGAAAATCATTTGGTTTAGGGTTGCTTTCAAGGGATTGTTCACTATCATAATGGGGTGAAGTTTGCTTTTTGGGTTTAGGGCAACTAGAAAGCACAGAATGGCCTAAAATTACTAAAAGTCTAAATTTTTATTAAGCGCTACACAATCCAAACAAACATGTTTTCTTAGCATACTCAGCCACGTTGGGCCCTTAATTTTAGCCGTCCCCATAATTTTAACTGAATGTGCAATCAAGATGTGTTCATTATCACTGGTGACTGGAATGCAAAACTTGGAAACAAGGAAGGATCCCCGGTAGTTGGAAAATTTGGCCTTGGTGACAGAAATAATTCTGGAGATAACATGATAGAATTTTGCAACACCAACAACTTATTCATTGCAAATACCTTTTTCCAACAACACAAATGGCAGCAATATACATGGACTTTGACAGAGGGAGTACACAAGAATCAGATTGACTACGTCTGTGGCAAGAGGTGATGGAAAAGCTCATTATCTTTAGTCAAAATGAGGCCAAGAGCTGATCATGGAACAGGCCATCAACGGCTCACATGCAAGTTCACCTTGAAGTTGAAGAAAATTAAAACAAGTCCATGAGAGCCAAAATATGACCTTGAATATATTCCTCCTGAATTTAGAGACCATTTAAAGAATAGATTTGATGCATTGTACATCAATGACAGAAAATCAGAAGAATTGTGGGATGACATTAAGAACATCATCCTTGAAGAAAGCAAAGGTCATTAAAAACATGAGAAAAGAAGAACAGACCAAAATGGATGTCAGAAGAGACTCTGAAACTTGCCCTTGAGCAAAGAATAACTCAAGAAAATGGAAGAAATCACAAGATAAAAGAGCTGAACAAACGATTTTAAAGAGCAATTTGAGCAGACAAAGCCAATTACTATAATGAAATGTGCAAAGACTTAGAGTTAGAAAACCAAAAGGGAAGAACACACTTAGCATTTCTTAAGCTGAAAGAACTGAGGAAAAAATTTAAGCCTTGAATTGCAATATTGAAAGATTCTATGGGTAAAATATTGAATGATGCAGGAAACATCAAAAGAAGATGGAAGGAATACACAGAGTTACTGTACCAAAAAGAATTGGTAGATCTTCATCTATTTCAGGAGATGGCATATTTCAAGAACCAATGGTTTTGAAGGAAAAAGTTGAAGCTGCACTGAAGGAATTGGCAAAAAATAAGGCTCCAGGAATTAATGGAATACCCATCAAAATGTTTCAACAAATGGATTCCCCACTGGAGGCACTCATTTGGTTATGCCAAGAGATTTGGAAGACAGCTACCTGGCCAACTGACTGGAAGAGATCCATATTTGTACCCATTCCAAAGAAAGGTGATCCCACAGAAAGTGGAAATTATAGAACAAAATCATTAATACCGCACACAAGTAAAATCTTACTGAAGATAATTCAAAAACGTTTGTAGCAGTACATTGACAGAGAACTTCCAGAAATACAAGCTGGATTCAGAAGAGGACGGGGAACAAGGGATATCATTGCTGATGTCAGGTGGATCTTGACATCAAAGATCATCTAGGCTCAAAGCAAAAAATACCAGAAAGATGTTTGCTTGTGCTTTAATTGACTATGCAAAAGCATTTGATTGTGTGGACAGTAACAAATTGTGGATAACATTGAGATGAATGGGAATTCCAGAACACTTAAATTGTACTCATGAGGAACCTGTACATAGACCAGGAGGCTGTCGTTTGAACAGAAAAGAGGATACTGCATGGTTTAAAATCAAGAAGCGAGTGCATCAGGGTTGTATCCTTTCACCATACTTACTCAATCTGTATGCTGAATCTAAGAAGCTGGACTATATGAAGAAGAACGTGGCATCAAGATTGGAGGAAGAATCATTAACAACCTGTGATACACTGATGACACAACTTTGCTTGCTGAAAGTGAGGATGTCTTGAAGCACTTACTGATGAAGATTGAAGATTACAGTCTGCAATATGGATTACATCTCAATAGTAAGAAAGCAAAAATCCTCACAACTAGACCTGTAAGCAGCATAATGATAATGGAGAAAAGATTGAAGTTGTCAAAGACTTCTCATTGCTTGTTTCTACCACTGACACCAGTGCAAGCAGCAGTCAGGACATCAGACAATGTATAGTATTGGGCAAGTCAGCTGCAAAGGACCTCTTTCAAGTGCTGAGGAGTAAAGATGTCTCCTTGAGGACTAAGGTGCACCTGACACAAGCCATGGTATTTTCAATCACCTCATATGCATGTGAGAGCTGAACAATGAATAAGGAAGACTGAAGAAGAGTTGATGCTTTTGAGCTGTGGTACTGGCGAAGAATGCCGAAAGTACCATGGACTGCTAAAAGATCTAACAAATCTGTCCTGGAGAAAGTACAGAAGGAATACTCCTTGGAAGCGAGAGTGGCCAGACTTTGTCTCTCCTATTTGGTTGTGCTATCGGAAGGGACCATTCCCTGGAGAAGGATGGCATGGTTGGTAAGGTAGAAAGTCAACGAAAGAGGGGAAGGCCCTCAACCAGATGGACTGGCACAGTGGCTGCAGCAATGGGCTCAAGTGCAGCAAGGATCACAGAGCTAGCGCCAGACCGGGTGGTGCTTCGTTCTGCTGTGCATAGAGATGCTATCAGTCACAGGCGACTCAATGGCACCTAACAACAACAACATACTTTTGCAAAAGTGGAGAACTGAAGCTCAGGAAATTAAAATTTCTTGTCCTGAATCACAAAACTCCCCTGCCCCCAAGTCCAGGGTGGAAGTAGCACCTCCCATCCTGAACTCTAGAAGTATAAAAACAAACCTTATTTGAAGGGAGTTGAGACTGGAAAATGGTGGAAAACGAGTTTGGAAAAGAGATCGGGACAAGATTGTGGAAGCCCTTAATGATAAGTTAAGATCTTCCATTTTCACTTGGTAGTCAAAGAGATGGTTCTAAAATTTTTGAGTAGACGAGTCCTGTGATAAAAGTTGTGTTTTAGGAAAGCTGGCTGCCAATTTGTGCCATTTATATTGGAGAAGAAAGGACCGAGGACTGCAGGCAAGGAGATACAAGAGAAAGTAATCTTTAGGTAAGAAGACATAAATAAATAAAAAAGAAAAAAAAACCTCACTGCCATCTAGTCGATTCTGACTCCTAGCAACCCACACTTTGGGTATCTGAGGTGGTAAATCTACATGGCTGATGGGTTTTAACCATCAACCTACTGGTTAGAAGTCAAATGCCTTAGGTACCATGCTACCAGCGCTCCTTAAGAAAACGTAAGGATTTGGATATTAGAAAGGAAGGGATAGATTCACAAAGGGAAAATAGAGGACTGTGTGGATAATTGTATCGAGAGACAAAAGAGGGAAAGTCGGAAGTGACTACCCTCTAAGAAGAAATTATACGAAGATTAAAGTCACTATACTGGTGATTTTTATCACTTCTTGGGGCTAGAAATAATATATGTAGAGTTTAAAGGTTAACTCTTCATGTCGATGAGGCTATAGATGGTGCAAATTGTTAATGTGCATGGATGTTAACCCAAAAGTTGGAAGTTTAAGTCTACTCAGAGGTGCCTTAAAAGAAAGGCCAGGTAAAGTACGACTGAAAAAGCAGCCACTGAAAACCCTATGGCGTCTACTCTGACAGATGTGCAGTCACTTTGAGAAGAATTGACTTGACAGCAGTTGGTTATATTTTTTTAATATGTTGATTATGTTACCTCTGTTAATAGAAGTCATTCCTCTTGCCTTTTAATCACTCCAGAAAATTAAATTATCCCTGAACCATAAAAATATATGTTCAGAATTTTAGGTAGTCTAATATAAAATGCTCATTGCCTTCAAGTCAGACCCAACTCATAGCGACCCCTCCTTGGGTTTCTGAGGCAGTATCACTACAGAAGTAGATTGCTCAACTTTCCTCCCAAGGAGTGTCTGGTAGGTTTGAACCAGCAGCCTTCTGGTTAGCAGTCAAATGCCTTAGGTACCAGTATTTTAACTATCATATTTTTTCCTAGTAAAGTGCTAATTTAGATTTAAAAATAAATGTGTAGGTGAAATTTTGAGTTAAATCTAACTCTTGATCATCGGTAGAAACTTAGACTATGGATAACATACTTCCATTGATTCAATTCAAACTCATGTTGTTGTTGTTATGTGCTCATAGCAACCTTATAAGACAGAGTAGAACTGCCTCGTAGAGTTTCCAAGGCCATAAATCTTTATGGAAACAGACTGCCTTAGCTTTCTCCCATGGAGTGGCTGGTGGATCCAAACCACTGAACTTTTGGTTACTAGCTGAATGATTTAACCACCATATCACCGGAGCTCCTAGACCATAACTCAAGAAAAAACTCAAACTCACTGCCGTCAAGTCAATCCTGACTCATAGAGACCCTTCCTTGCGTTTCCAAGGCAGTATCTCTATGGAAGTAGATTGCCCAGTCTTACTTCCGAGGAGTGGCTGGTGGTTATGAACTACCAGCCTTCTGGTTAGCAAATGCCTTACACACTACACCACCAGAGCTCCTAAATCCACTGCAATAGAGTCGATTACACTCATAGTGATCCTCATTGACTTTCCAAGGCTTTAAATCCTTCCAGAAGTAGATTGCCCCATCTTTCTTCCACAGAGCAGCTGGTGGCTTTGAACTGCAAACCTTGTAGTTAGCAGTCAAATGCCTTAGATCCTTGACCATAGAATAGCATAAAACCACTGAAATTTAAATAATTTACAACTCTGATTTTTTACTTTTTTCAAATTTTTGAAAAATAAAGAAAACGTTGCTGATTTGTGCTTAATGTTTTCTCTCTTCCACAAACCATTTGATGACTCAAAGGCCTGGACAGTGAGACCACCAGAGATGATCACAAGGCTTCCTGTAGTAGGAGAAGCAGCAGGGGAACTGAGAGTTTTAAATAATAAGTAATAATTGCTTGATTAATTTTTTATGGTCATACCTGCAAATCTAATTTAATGGTTTTTAAATCAGAAGTTTAGTTTTGTTTCATTGGAAGACATGTGGAGAAAGTTGTTTGACAAATTTCAGAAAGCATGATCTTCAACAATTAGAAAGCAGACAATGTGGCAAAGTACTGGATCCTTCTCTGCCCTCTCCCTGCACCTTCACCTCCAGCATCCCCAACAGAATTAGGCAGGAAAGTGAGTTAAATCACATTGTTACTGCTCACACTGTTTGGTCATAATATGTGTCTTCTCAATCCTAATACTGAATGCAAGTTGGAAACAACCAGCTATATATCAAATTATGTTCTCCTAAACCTACCTGAAAGACCTCACCTTGTGATTTTTGCCCAGGACCCTCTGAAGAAGAGTTGGTTTTCAGAGAGGGGGAGCCGACTGTGCGTCCAAGGAAAAGAATCCCTGAGAAAGGCAAATGGAAAATGTGGCTGCAAGAAAACTGGGAAGACTGTGTGGTGAGAGTGTAAAAAAAAAAAAAAAGGCTACTTTCCTTGATCAAATTATGACACTTTTTGTTGTTGTTGTTGCTTTTATGTGTTAAAGGAAAACTAACAGCATTTATGTCAAAACTTAAGCATCTCTTTAAAGCATTCTATGAAACTAGCGGTGGTTGGGCTTCTCTCTCCTTTTCCCCCTTCTCTTCATCATGGCATATTGCTTATTTTCTAACTTGAAATTGCTGAGCTTTGTTAAGAAAAAAACTTAGACTATTTGAAAATGAAATAGTTCTTTTTGATAATAAAAAAAAATCAAATGTTTGGCAATAATAGAATATCAATGAGTTTATGATGCAATCTAGAATGTCTTGAATAATGCATCAAGCCAAACAATTTTATCAACTGAGTCAGCCAGCCTGGTCTGAACAGAGCTATCTTGGAATAAATCAAACTTTCACCAGTGCAGTTTATGAGCTGTGATTTCTTGGTGCTGAAAACAACCCAGCTAACTGAGCCACCAGCATTGAGATGGTCTCTGCAGTCAGTCAGCCTGAAACCATAAAACTATGGGGCTGTGACTACTTAAGTCCCTAATTCCTGTGGGATCAAGTCATGTTTAGACAGACAACTGAAGGTTTAACTAGGAAGAACAAGCATTAGCAACAATAAAAGAGTAAATCAACTTCTTCACAACAGAGTGGGATGCCAAAATTTTTGTTGCCCAGTGATCAAATTATATTTGAATGACCCTTAAAGACATTATGCTAAGAGAAATAAATCAGTCACAAAAGCACAGGTATCATCATATGATCCCAGTTAAATGAAATATCTAGAATAGGCATGTTTATAGAGACCAAAGTCTGTTAGTGGTTACCAAGAACTGGTGGGTGAAAGGGAAGAAGGAGGAGGACTTATTGGTTAGGTCACACTGAGCTTCTGTTAAGGTTGATGGAAGAATTTGGAAATGGACAATGGTGACGTTGCACAGCATGATGAGCATAATTGATGAGACTGAATTGCACATGTCCAAAATGTTGAAATGGCAATTGTTCATTACATATATATTTACTACAATTTAAAAAAGGAAATTGTAATTAAAGATTTTAGGAAAGCTTCCAGAAATAAGGCTGAGTTTGAAAGCTGCTTATTGGCATGTCCCAATATTTCCTTTCCTTCACAGAATGATCTTGTTTGTCATAGAATTATAGTATTAGGGGACAAGAAGGAGCATCAGAGAGGATCTTAACTAAATACTCTCCTCGCAAAAAGCAAAGAGAAGTACAGAGAGAGAAATGATCTTCAGAAGATATAAAATAGAATATTGCTCCCCAATCCCATGTTCAAACTTCACTAGAAAATTTGCAGTTCTCTAATTACCAGTGTGGTTGAGCATATTTTCATATTTTATTGTATGTTTCTTCTGTGATGGACTTTTGGATGTTTCGTTGTGGTTGTGTAGTGCCTAAGGCACTTGACTGCTAAACAGAAGGCTGGAGGTTCAAACCCCCCAGCCCACTTTTTGAAAGGAAGGTTGGGCAATCTACTTCCATAGTGATACGGCCTCGGAAACCCAAGGAGAGGTTGCTATGAGTTGGAACCAACTCGAGGGCAGTGAGTTTGGTTTTCATTTAGTCCTTTTTTGAGTTTTTGTCCTTTTCATATTAGTTTGTTAGAGTTCTTCATATAATCTGAATTCTAGTTCTTAATTGATTATATACTGTGTAAATATTTTGAAGGCATTTTGTGATATGTAAAAGCTTTTAATTTTGATGTCAACCTAATGCTTTTTCTGCTGCACCATGCTGATTTCAAATGGATTCTCTGAACCTCATTTTCAAATTCATAACATGGGAAATTTTTAGAAAACAACACTGATACATATTTTTTGTCATTACACTCAAGAAAATGTAAGAATTAATCCATATTCCTGAGACAAGGCCTAATGCACTCAGCAGCACAAAATAAGCAACACATACTCCACAGGAAAGAGGATGAATGAGCAGATGACAGAATTCCTTTGTACAAGTCAACATTAACCCTTTTCTTCCAGATCATCCTTTACTAAGAGGAAAATGCAGTTTCTTAGCAAAATACATACAATTCCTTAGATACAGATTTTAGCAAATCAAATCTAATAAATGAAATAGCTTTATAAGAGAGAGCTGGGTAAATCACAATATTATATAAAAAAAAGTTAGAACCATAATGGGAAGCCTATTTTCTGGCTAGTACTCTACTGAAATCTTTATGTACATTGTTTCCTTGGTATCATAAAACTTTTATGAAGGTACTATTATTATCATCCTCATTTTACAGAGCAAAGTTAAGTGAATTTCAGTGTTGTCAGTTGTCCAATACGTATATGTTGAATTTTGGATTCATTCTCAGGATTGTCCCACTTAAAAGCTCTTACCATCATGCTATATGCATTCAACACATATATGTTTGTTCCCGTTTTGTGCTAGACATCCTGTGAGGGTCTGAGCATAAAATTGCCACCTGGACAGACAGAATTTTGTCCCCATGGAGCTTAGTTTCTAGGGTTGGAGCCAGATAATAATTAAGTAAACAAAACAAACAAACAAACAAAATTACTTCATCAATAAATACCTTCTAAGATCTGTAATGAACAATGAAACCAACAAGGTGCTACCATAAAAAACTTAATTGAGAGACAGTAGAAAAGGTCTCTCTAAAGAGGGAACATTTAAATTACAGATGATAGATATAATTGTTTATAATTTATGGCTTTATTTTAAAATTAAGACCTTCTATATTTTTGGAAAATGTTGTACCACATAATGTCCAAAAATATCAAGACCTTAATGATTTTTCTAAGGATGGAGATATTTACAGTTCCTTAAAATAAATCATTTTGCTTTAAATTTTCAATAGGGAGATTGCAATTTTACTCAATAATTTTAATTTGCATCAATTGAAGCTAAAATTGTAGAAATAAAAAGTTAAGTAGACTTTTAGAAATAAAGTTTACCTCGGGAATACTGTTATTGAGAGCGGTTTGGATTTTCTTCACATTAAAGCTGAATAATACTAAAAGTAATATTAATAGGTAACATCCACTACCTATGAAATAGCTCCAAGTCATTTGTAGGTATGTATCCCCAGTTACTTTAAAACCAAATCATAGTTTTTATCTTATAAATGATGCTATCTTACTTGGAAATTATTATAAATGTTACTCCTGAGTATTTCCCAGTGAGGCTAACAGTAACAACACTTTAAATTCTCAAACAGAGGCTTATCCTCCCTTCTTCAATTTTCTCCCACTAGAGAATTTCAAACAGTCTGAAATTAACCAAACATGCAATCAGGAT